TATCATTGTTTTTGAAAACATATTAACTGTTGGTTGTTTCTCATTTTATTTTAAATAATGAATAGAAAGTAAGTATTCCCATCGTTACTATTATCATTGTTTTTGAAAACATATTAACTGTTGGTTGTTTCTCATTTTATTTTAAATAATGAATAGAAAGTAAGTATTCCCATCGTTACTATTATCATTGTTTTTGAAAACATATTAACTGTTGGTTGTTTCTCATTTTATTTTAAATAATGAATAGAAAGTAAGTATTTTTTCATCATTTATTTATTATTACAGTCAATATCATTGTTTTTGAAAACATACTAACCGTTGATTGTTTTTTGGCTTATTTTAAATAATAAATAGATTGTAAGTATTTTCATCATTACTATCATTACACTCGACATCATTTTTTTTGGAAAAATATTAACTGTCGCTTGATTTTTTGATTTATTTAAATAGTAAATAGGCTGTAAGTATTTTCATCATTTATTTATTATTACAGTCAATATCATTGTTTTTGAAAAATATTAACCGTTGATTGTTTTTTGTTTTATTTTAAATAATAAATAGCAAGTAAGTATTTTTCATCATTACACTATATTATTCAAGTCAATATCATTATTTTGAAAAAATATTAACCGTTGGTTGATTTTTGTTTTATTTTAAATAGTAAATAAGGCCGTATTTGCTCTTTAGCTCTTTGGTTGTAATATTATAAACTGTACTCTTCTTTTTACTTTTTACTTTTATCTTTTATCTTTTATTTTTATTGGTTATACTATAACTTTTACGTTGCATAAGGTGTTCTCATGCAAACGATAATGTTTATTTTACAACATAGTATAGGAAGCAAAAATAAATAAGTAAATCAAATTCACACACAATAAGTGTTTATTATAATTCGAAAAAGCAAGTTTTACATGCCAATATAAATGGGGAATGAAAAGAAATAAAGTTATGTTCAATAAAAGAGTTAAATAATAATAATAATAATAATACAAATCGAAATACCTTCTATAAATAAAATATTAATATGTATGCTACGTAGAAAAAACTCGTGAACCTTGCACCAGATTTTCTAAAATTAGTTTTTATATTAAGGCGTAGTCTAATCTCAAACACTGCAAGCCGGTATCATTGCGCGTCCTCGGAAATTAAATCTGATTGGATTAAGATTTGATTTGATCAAGATTAATAAATAAATTTGTCCTCAAAAAATTCTATTTTAAATTTACACAATCTTGAATGGAAAATGAAGGATATTTGAATATACGAATTTATTTCAGATTTTCATAATTTATTTCAGATACTTGCAGTGTGTAAAATTGAACGGGCGCGTGCAACATTATTAACCAATCAAATTTTGAATTTCTGGAGATATATAGTTTCTAAATTTATATTAGTTACACGACGAAATTTATTTTTATTCGAATTCGAATTATTCGTTTCATTCTTTTTATTCGATTTCGAATTATTTGTTTTATTCTTTTATTTGTTTATCCAAATAAACTCACATTGCTGCTGCCATAACAATTCGAATAAACCTTATACGATAAATGATTGAGTCATATGATTTTATAATATTGTGACATCATCTCTATTTTTGGATTTTGAAAATTTGGCACTCGACGCAGCATTTGATGGGTGCGCACTATATTTACCAAAAAAATTTTCGTTCAAGCCGTTTTTGCACTATTTTAATCTTCATTGGAAATTATGGATATAAAAATCAAACTTTTTTAATATTACTATTACGCATAATACTGGAATTTACAAAATAATGGCTCGTATTTTTTTTATGGCATAATGTCTCAGCTGATTCTCTACTAAAATGTGTTATCCAATTTTTATCTTGACAAACTCATTTGCATCCAACCCTTCTGCTTCTACCCTTTGTTTTAGATCGGAAAGTATTGTTTCAGAAGTGAATCTATTCTTCTCGTCTACATTTTCTGACAAAAATAGGCTTTTAAAAGTTGTTTTACTTGCTCAGACATGTATTTGCTTCTATACACTTTTCAATATTTGCTTCTCACAAAATCCCAACCCAGTTCAAAGTATTTCATTCTAAAAATTTCAAAATTCGTTAGTTTAACATCTAGAAAATATTTATTGTATTAACATTTTTCCTATTTACGGTTCACCCTCTCTGTAATGGACCATTTGGATTACTGTTATAGACAATAATAATGAGTTAGCTTAAATTCTCGGTCCATTTTTATTACAGAAAGATACATTATAGAGAGAGTGAACTGTACCTTATTTATTTTCTAACCGCTTCATCTTCATCCCCAGATAGATATCATTACATGGCGTTTTTCGTTTTCTATATTTCAATTAATATGGATGGTACATTTTTTAATACTGAACCTTGGAAATGAATTTCTACATAAATCTTCATAGGAAGATAAGAAAAAGATTTATATACTCTAATCTGCTTTCATAATGTAAATGAACCTAATGAAATTAAATTTACAAAAAAAAAAAAAAAAAAAATAATACATATGTTCTTTATTTTTATATTTTCTTGTGCGCGTGTCCCAATCACTTTCCTTTGTTTCATAAGTTGCTCCCAAGAAGCTAGATTTTTCTTTACTGAATACAAATTCAGTTCCCACACACTCATTTACTATTAAATTCGAAGATTTCTCATATTAATATTAATAACGTGATACATGATTGGGATAGATTAGGAATGAATAATAATAACTAACGTATTTTATGTTCCAAGGTCAACTAATTTTAGTGTAGACCTATACATAATTCAAATGAAACTTTTTGTGGAAAAGCTTTTTATAATTATTATCAAATTACTGTGTAATAATTATAAAAGTTTTATAATATTAATATGAATATTGATTGATTAAGTTAGTTAACAGTAATAATAGAAGAAAGTGAAAAAAATATATCAAAATATTATTCTTTCTGAAACAAGATTTAAAAAGTTTATTATTTTTCAAAACATAATTATGATTTAACTTTAAAAAAAAAAAAAAAAATCTTCAATTATAATGAATTAATTTATAGCCGAGGTTAAATTAGTCATCAATCAGCCTCCTCGATCTTTACTACTAGAATCTAATGTTTATTTATTAATCAAAATTATTGTTAGTAATAATCAGTGGAAATTAATTAGTAACAAGCTTATTAATCGTTTTAATAAAAAAATAACTACCATGCTTATTATTGTTAGCTGTCAATATTTTTGAACAACCTTCCAAACTTTTCCAATACCTTTTCAAACTTTCACGACCCCTTTCCAAGTTATCTACCCAATACAATGGATCCACTACCATTCCTCTTGCAAACCCCCACTCATCCAAACTGCTGGATCCATACAACCATACAAGGATGGCTCCGATAATACCTATTAGTCACCAAAAAAAAAAAGATTTATACAGCTTCTAACTTGTTAAGCTATGCAATTTAAATATACAAACCCAATCCACCACCAGCTGATGCAATGCTACTTAGAATAGTACTTGTGCTAATCATGGTTCATAAGTAAGATAAATAAATTGTATTCATAGAGGACCCCGGAGACTACATAGATAGGTTATCCCAAAATCTAATTGGCTAATCGAGAAAATCTGCACTAATATGGTCAAATTACGGCCATTTTGGTAATGATATTCACGCGCTCACTATTAAGTTTACCCAAATTTAGGGTAACCTATCTATGTAGTTTCCGGAGTCCTATTCATAGTGATGTTTACAATAATACTCTGTTTAAACTCTACTGTTAACTTACCGCCTTTCAGAAATTTCTTCCTGTACAAAATCCCCAGCAGCAACTGAAAAATAACCATTGGTTCCATTTGGTACAGATGATGGATTCTGGTTAAAGGGAAATTGACTGATTGTGCAATCAATTCTCGGAGTAGTTGCATAGTTGGGCTCAAATCCAATGATGGCAGAAGCATCCCGAGGTAGTATACTTTTATATATACTTGTCTTGAACTTGATCTAAAAGAAGTGTTAGAGAATAATTAATATGAATAACTGGAAAACGATCAATAATTATGTGTAAAAATCCTACTAATGAAACATAGCCTATTATTCCTGGCATAAAATTCCATTGAAGTTTGATACGTGATCGAACAGCTTTGTCCATATCACTGACATCCAGCAAGTCTATTTAAAATATATCAAAACATTAGCAATTTTGACAATTTATTCTTTGGATAATTGAAATAGTCAGAAACATGTAAAAAATGACCATCTATCTATCTATACGAAAATAATCTTACTAAAAGGTATGTCGGTTCAAATATAATTATCCTATCTATATAATTATCAAACAATTTACTGACCAGGTGAAGAAACTCTTATTTGAATTAAAGCTAAACCAACTTTATCTTTTTCAGCATCCGTTGCATTAATCATATAGAAAAGCTTCAATTTGTTCAAGCCATCTGGCTTTTCATGTGCATACTCTATAGTTTTGTTGGCTTTAAAGGTATAACAGCAGTACTTATCATCAGCACCCTTGGTAATATTAATATTAGGGCCAGAAATGTATTTTTGGCATCCATTTTGGATGTTGGTTGAATTATTAAGCTTAGTGTCGCAGCGTAATATTTCAAAGAAACCTGGAGAACAAATCTCCATGTCTATAAGTAATAAAAGATGTGAGTTTATTGTAAATTTAGCTTTACTTGTTGACAATAAACTTAACTTGGTACATCGATGTTATTTACAAAATTGTATTTGGTAATAACCACTGGATATTCTGTTGCAAGTTGGATTACTAAATAAATCAAGTATGAAACATAGCAAATACCAGCCAATACATATATGAATTTGTGAAAAATTTTAAATACTGGTGAGTTGACACGTTCCTATGAAGAAATTTAAATATATTAAAATCCATATTGAAATCTGTGGCTATTGCAAATTTAAATTTTGTACTAAATTCAATTATAGTTACTGTATTATTATTATTAATTGCAACTTCTGTTCCAGCCATTGTTAATATACTGGACAAACAGAAAGCATAATATATATACGTATCTAGTAAATGTAAATCAATTCCTGTTTAGGTTAATATTAATTATTAATATATATATATATATATTTTTTAAATTACTAACAAGTTTTTTCCGGCTTTTGTATTGTATCGTCCGCAGATGAACTTTTCGTATTAGTATTAGTACAACATCAAAGAGGGAAGACAAAACAGTTTTGTGCGTGGGGAGAATTCATTCGAATGTTCTTTTTTCTTTTGAAAGGTCTTTGATTCTCAAAATAGCGAAAGATATTGAGTACCAGGAAATTGAATGATCCAGCCAATTTGGAAATCATTATATATTAATATGTGCTAATTTGTTCGAAAAAAAGAACGAATGCCATATTTTAACAATCATTTATTAAAATTTAGAGCAATTGTGCCACATCCTTCGACATCATGAATATAGTTATCTCAACTGTATTATACGCATTGTCAATATATGGCTTTGACTCATTTCCCAAAATCTCTATTTTTAATTGCGTCTGACTCAATTATTTAT